TGGATGTTTTGAGTGTTAGTAACCCAATCAGCCATGCAAAGGCTTAAAGTCACTGACTTTATGGATTAAGAGACATTAGGGAGTCCAGATCTATGATATGAGCCATTGTCTTAATGGATTAAGATCAAAAACATGAGGATAGTGATACTGGGATGTACACTGGGCGTACTCCCAGTACGCGCAGCGTAGGGGTCGAGCATCCCCGATGACTTGCATGGCAGCTGAGGATCCGGGATTTATTATATATTCAGTTTTTGGGATATGTGTTGGATGATTTGATACTATAACACTTTTTGAGATGTTTGAATTGAGAAAAATGTGTTTTGAAATTTGAAAATTTTGGTTTAAAATTTTCGTTGTTACACAAGGGATGGTTATGACGTGAGGATCAATGGTTGAAGTTAGTGGTCGTTGACTTTGACCTTGACCGTTGACTTGATGACCTTGTTTGACGTTTGGTCAAACTACGGGTTTTGGAGTATAGACTAAGATGGTACTCTTTATTACTGTTAGGTGTGATTTAGGATCAGTCTTTGTTAGGTGAGAGTTGTAGTGTTTAGTTGCTACTTGCGAGGTGAGTCCTCTCACTATACTTGCTTGTATGGTAGTATGTGCATGTTGACCAGCTGGGTCTTATCTGTTGATTTCTGATATATGTGAACTGAGTTGTATATAACTCTTGGATTGCTAAAAGTCCATGGGACTGCTGATAGTCCCCAAGGTTACTGATAACCCAGGTGGTGTATTATTAATCCACAGGGCGTGCTTTTGGCCCACTATGACTGTTGATAGTCCCCAGGGTTGTTGATAACCCATAGTTGATTGTTATGTTGTGTTGTATGAGATATTTTTTGGGGAACTCGCTAAGATTTGTGCTTACAATTGTGGATTAACTATTTTGGAGGTACTTATGGGGCGGCTGAGACGTGACTGTACACACACATCAGCAGTTTTATGATTCGAGATTACGCATTGTCTTATTATAACTCTGATTTCTGGATGTGGTTTTATTAAAAATGGGTGTTATATTATTTTAAAAATGAAAAATTTAGCCTGGGTTTTTGGGACGATACAAGTTGGTATCAGAGCCCTGGTTTGAGGGATTTGGATAAACACTTGTGGGATGCCAAACTTAAACTATGGATCTGAGAGTTTTATAAACCTTTTTTGAAAAAACATTCGTTTCAAGAGAAGAAAATAGAAGATTCAATGCGTATAGTCACACGGAGCTTGAAAAGTGATTTCTCAAAATATCCATGCTTGCTTTATATGTTGTGACTGAATTGTTGTTATATGTGTTATAATATAATATGCATGTTATGAGTTAGTCTAGAGTGCCTGCTCAGATAGATGCTTTTTGTGTGTGATATATGAGCTGTTAGAGATACAGGATAATGTATAGGCTAACGATCCTTATAATGCATTTTTACCTGTTGTTTTCTACTCGAATGCTGCTTTCTTTGTGCTATGTGAAACTTATATTGATGTTAGTTAGATTTTAAGCGAATACGTTAAGTTACATGACACAAAGATTAAAAAGTTTTAGAATGTTTGATTTGGCCTATTGCGTAGCTCTTGTTTGAGTCCAACCGTTGTAGTGTAGGATCTTTCAGTCGAAAGGCTATTTAATCCTTGTTGCATGTAATTATATTTTCAAGACGGTTAGTTGGCATCGGTAGAAGTTTCTTTTGCAGCTGATAGCCGTGTTGGGTGAGTATCCCTTGTGGCCCTTACGGGGAGCTCTATCGTGTGCTGGTGTGAGCACTTGCGTTTGAGGAAGTCTGAGCTAGGAATCTAGGCGATTGTGGTGGCTTTTCTAAGCGTATGGGTGTGCTGATACACTTGGCAGTGGTACAGTTCCTAGAAAAGCATTCTAGTGTGTGCTTATGTATGAGAAGAATCCTAGAGGGAGAGAGTCTAGGATGAGCGGTAGTGCATGCCAGGAGTGGCACGGGTGTCTGAGATTGATAGTGGTTTGGTGTAGCGACTTAGTTACTTTGAGACAATTCTCGAGACACGTACGAATAGGCGTGGAAGGTAGTAGTGGCCCATACTACAAAAAGAGCAGGATACGTATGGGGACCAGGAAAGGTTGAAAAGGTTTTAAGGAACTGGGGGAGGATAGATGGTGTGGTATAACACTAGTGTTAGTTGCAGTTGTCTCCATCGTCATTGGCCTGCCGACCATGATTTTTTTAGAATGAGACTGGTAATTGATTGGGCCTTAGTATCTGTGGCAGTTTGGGACTGAATGGTGCAGATATGTGTGAGTTAGCTGATATAGAGGTCTCGGGGACCTTACTCAAAGTAGTGCTAGTTTGAGTCGCGGGACTCAAGAAGGAAGTCACTATGATGATCGACTTGAGGATTGCAGCCTGAGGCTGAGTGGTCAGCCAATGGCAAGGGATGTTATTTTTTGCATCGGGGTTGTGTTTTTCCTATCTCCTCTGCTTGAGGGAGGAGAGAGATCGGATGTGGGTCATTCAATGGTTGAGATAGGAGATGGTGACCTCTTTATCGGTTCTGTTGTAAGAAGGTGAAGTTTAGTTCGCAGTAAATCGTCTCGGTGTCGCAACGAAGGGATGTTTGAGACTCGATGGTTCTTGTGGTTCGATGGACAAGGTGAAGGCAATGTCACATGCGAAATATGTATCGCAGGTTCTAGAAGATCGGGTGTACCTGAAGAGGCATCCAGTTATTCCTGTCTTAGGACATGAGAGTTTTGCAGATATTATGAACTTGTCGATGTTGTGTTTTGAGAATCCATGGGGAAATTCTTGATGTTTCAAGAAAATAATGAGGTTGTGGTTTAAGTCCACAATTGCAAGGTTTTTGTGTGTAAGTTCAGTTTGTTAGGTACCTTGTCAATCCAAGGGTATTTTGATGGATTTCATTGAGATTGCGACAACGATGTCGGGAAGAGTTTCCAAGGTTTTCATCTGAGGTTCAGGGTTTTCTTTACGATTTATTGGCCTTTATATGGAGGATTTTCATATGCCATTTTGCATACCGGAAGTCAATGTTGGCGCATATCTGGCTGAGCTAGTGCGAGGCATTGGTATGGCAGACGTCAGTCGATGATGGTTCGAACCCTAAGTGGGGGAGAACTGAAACAAAAATTTGCTTGGAAGATCATCGGTCGGTCCGATTTTTATGCTTTCATTGCGATGGGTCAGAGTAACTTGCGGTTCATGAAAGTTAGATTTCGGTCCAAGGTTGATGGCTGCATGGGGGAGAGGGAAGTAGGCTATTATCTAAGTGTTCGTGGTTAGGAAGTTTCTCTTTGCGCTCCTCAGGGATCCTCCAGAGTCCTCCATGGTTGCAGAAGAATGAAGGATGTCAGATCGTGGGTGCAGAGCGAGTTGCCGTTAGGTGTATGTTTTCAAGGGCATATGTGTTTTTCTCACTGGAGGTGACTGATGGTAAGCATGGTTAGCTCGCAATATGGACTGGTTACTTATGGTCGAGTATATGCAGTCATTGATGTGGCGGGCAGCTTCAGAGTTCGATAAGAGTTTCCGCTGGGGTTTTGTTCAGTATATGTGGGGTCATCGGGTTGTAACTCATTTATGTTGGTAGTGATTGCTCATATTAATGTAGTTTATAAGTAACATTTATGCACTTATATGTTACAATCTTTGGTTCATCCACTCATTGGCCTATATATAAAGGGTTGTCGTGTACTCTTGTAATACATATTCACAATGTCTAATTAGAATCTTTGCATGATCATTAAGCTACTCTTGTAATACATATTCACAATGTCTAATTAGAATCTTTGCATGATCATTAAGCTGAACTAATTTGCCTTACAACAATTTACAACAATATGTACTTTTTTTTGTTTTCAAAAATACAATTATTTTTTCTTTTCTTAATAACTTGTAAATTTTATATAATTTATTTTATTTATTAAAATATTAAACTGTTTACTTATACCAAAACTACAAACGCGAGCGTACAAAACAATGACAAGCTAAATTTATTATGAACTAATTATATAAAAATAAGAGATTGATAAATAAGGAATTTAAAATCAAATTTGACTAATTATAGCATTTGTGGGGGAATATATTAAAGATTATGCAAAAGAATATTTAATTTACAAGAATTAACCCACTAATTGTTGGTCAAGTAAAGTAATATTAAAAAAATAATCAATATTTAAAAGCACTAGATTTGCTGGAGTTGAAGACCTCTTTCTTTCCAGGTGATTACATCCCCCTTTCTTTGACTTTTGTTTTTCTTTAAAATTATTAAAATAATATTAGGTATGGAATATATGATCAAGTGGTACCATAATTGCTCCTTTTAAACTTGAATTTGAATTAATTAAATTTCAAGATTCAAATTCATTTGTGTTTTTCTTTAAAAGCTATTCACGAAAAATAATATGATCATTAAGGTTTTTATATTAGATTATTTGGCTATAACTATTTTAAAACAGTACATTACAAATATGTCTAGTTAAATTATCGTTTATGGGATTGTATATATGTTTGTAACTTAATGCCTTTTTTTTGGTTTTATCATAACCCTAATCTTAAAATTATGGGACTATTATTTACCATTTAGAGTGACAATTAACGACCGATTCTTCAAAAAAACGTTTTTTGTGAAATAAATCATACTGATAAATTAAAAAAAAAAAACAATCTAAAGATTTAAAATAAAAGAAACTGATTTCAAAATCAAATTTAGACTTTTTTAAAGTGGTATTAACCTCTTAATATAAGGCATGTCTCCTACTTTAGGTGAAAGAGATCTTCAACAAATATTGCTTTTAGACAACCTTCCTCCCCCTATCTTGACTATTTCCTCTCTTTTTCTTTATTTTATATGTTTGTTCTTTACCCTTATTGTGTTTTAAATAATTATACATAATCTACACATTTGTAAAATAAATAAGAATCAATTTCTTTAGTTGCTATAAAAGGAAGAGGGGCAATACCCCATTTTGGTACATCAATTTCAAATTTACAACATATATTTTCAAGAAAATGGGAAAAAAAGTATGTCATGATCTTCTTTCTTCAACATGGGAAGAAGGAGATGCAAGAGATCAACTCTCAACACAAACATATGTTGAGAAAAAACTCAAAATCTTCGGGTTTGAGCTACAACAGACTTCTCTTGACGAAAGTACCCTCAAAACCAACCATTTAAGGCCAACTGAAGGGGAAGAGAGCGTAAATTCATCATCAACAACGATTGAAAAGAATGATCTTCCTACAGAGGTTAAAAAGTTTGAGTGCCAATATTGTTTCAAAGAGTTTGTAAACTCGCAAGCGTTAGGAGGTCACCAGAATGCACACAAGAAGGAAAGATTGAAGAAAAAACGGTTGCAATTACAAGCTAGAAGGGAAAGAATCAACTACTACCTCCAACCCTATACCCATAACAAACATGGGCTGAATTTTGATTTTCATGGTTATTATGATTCAGAGTTCGAGTCTAATATTAGTTTTAGTCAGTATGATGATGATCTATTGTCGTTTAGAGATCCATGCAATTTTACTCTTACACATGTAGATAGGTCAAGAGGCAACTACATACCAGTTTCTATGAAACCAGCTCCTCGAGTTGTTGAATTAAAACAAAACCATGCAGATTTGGATCTGCAGTTGAGTTTGAGCTCGAACTCCATCATGTAAAACAAGAAAAGTGAAAAGCCATGAATTTCTCATGATCATATGTAAGTAAATTAGTATCTTGAAACTAATATTCAATCATTGTTTTTGTATGATTTTTTGATGACGAACAAGAGCATCATTGGATGCATAACTACTGTAGAGTATATTTCTCTTTTTATTTATTTATTTTTGTATGTTCGGTAGCCTAGCTATAATTTAAAAATATTATTTAATAACCAAGCAAGACAAGAAAGAAATATATTTTAGTATCAATTATGTTGCTTGATTACTAGGGTTTCTTTAGAAGATAACCAAAGATTTAGGGAACCATTCTTTTCATGGGTTTTTGTTTATTATAATTTTTATTTTAAATTATTTCTTCAGGGTTCATTTAATTCTCTATATATGTGTAGGGTATCTTTATTGTATTTATTATGTGCATGCTAGCGCGTGTTATGTTTAATTTTCTCAAGCAAGCAAGTAAAGGGTTGAAGAGGTGTGACTAATTAAAAAACAGCTTCGTCACCTCCTTCTAGATAATTTTGGATTTATAATTTATTAATCAAAATATAAAACTAATATATAGAAAAGAAAGATTAGAGGACACCAAATTAATGTTTTTCTTCTAATAAAAGGTTTTACTAATTAATTAATGTACAACATCACAACAAATTGTCTTATCGACTGTCATTCTCATCGGTAATCTTTTGGCAATGGGTTGTATGGAAAGATTAGTAATTAGGACAACTATCTATCGGTAAAAACACATAGAAATTTTTAGACCCTGTTTCATAGACATCTTTTTGGTTAACTGGATGGAAAGACTGTTTGATTTGGACAAAAAATAGGGTATTTGCTGGTAAATGTGTCTTTATCAGAAAACCCCAAAACTATATTTTTCTGGCTGAATGGGCCGGAAATACAATTGTGCTCCGAACCTCTTCTCTTCTCTTTCTTGAATTATTAATTTATTTTAAATATATATTTTTTTGAATTTTTTTATTGGGTTATTACTTTTTTACTGGATTATTATATATTAATAAATATTATTTATAATATACAATATTTTTATATATTAATAAATATTAATTTATTGGATTATTAATTTATTTTAGCTAATTTTTTTAATGCATTTTTATTGGATTAATTTTTTTTACAACACCGCCATCATCCTAATTTATTTTACAAAATTTCATCCATCCCACCACTATCGGACATAAATCGGGTCAAGAATCACACATTGAGTTAAAAAAAACTAAAATAGATAGAAAGAACAACAACATAATATCAACTTTAAAAACAATAAACTAAAAACAAGCCATGCATGTGTGTGCTACTGTTCGGTGTCCTCGTCACCACGAAGTGTGGAACCAAGTATACTACCCTGAAAACTCAAACCTTCTTTCTTTCACTTGCATATCGCTCCCACAGTTCATCATCATCCGAAGAATAACTACTTCATAGTGAGATCTTCATCATACTTCTCATTCATATCATTCTCATTCCCTTCGCACAAGTTACCAAAATAACATGATCAATATTATACTAAAAACCAAGAATACAAATAAATACATCCAACAAAATATCTAAATGGATTAAGATAACTTACATATATTCTCCGAGAATATAATGACCTCCTCTGGCTCCTAGTTGATTTTATTGAACTCCTTTCCAGGTGTGTCGTCTTAAAAACTCATGACCACGAGGGATGAGCCCTTTCTCCTTAGCTTGCAAAAACCACAATAAAATAATGTAATTTATGTTAAAGTAGAAAATCATATTTAGATTTATATAAATGATTTGCTACCAATTGTAAGCGATGTGGTTATATAGTAATTAATGAATATAACTATATATATTTGGAGATGGAACCATCCACAACGGTGTTGTGATTGTTCCTTCCACTTTCAAACTTCTTTTTTCCAATGGTTAGTATTTAATCCTTGTTTATTAAAAATATTGGTTTATATGTATAATAATATAAAATGTACTATATATAATAAAGTAAACAATAATGTATTACTCACGTACCTTGCACATGCATCTGCTACCACAACTACAAATTGATTCGATGGGGGCAATGTGACTTAATTATAACTCCTCTAATATTGATCATTTGTTATAACCAAATATCTTCTAGCAACGAACAACATTCCACAGTTGAAACAAATTGAAACATGTAAGGTTCTCATGAAAAGAAGAGCCATTACCTTCAAACATATCGAATATGCTTATGAGATCTGAAGACTAAATATCGGGTAAGCTTGTCTTAGAAAGAGTTCTAAAAAAGTAGATAGTTTTTTTTTTTTTTTTTTTTTTGGATACGGCAAATGATTAAACGGAAGCCTACTCGCATATTTCAACGAGCACCCCGGGTTCGAGCTCCTTTACAGGGCAAACCAGCCCTCATAGGGGTTTCCAGGGAAAATTTCCCCACATGTGGCACAAGTTTAAGAGGCACCCAAATTGGGTTTTGCAGGGATTGAACTTCTGACCTCTGACCTCACGTGGATATTAAACTCGGTACCTCTTCCCAGCTAGGCTGGAAGTCATTGGTAAAAAAAAAAAAGTAGATAGTTAACCATGAAAATTCTCTCATATCTATTTGAGCTAGCTTGATTGAAAAAGTAATAGAAAATATGCATCTATATATAACCTTCATGAAATAAAGTACATCACCCACCAAAACCCTTTGAATGGGCGGATGACAACAAAGAATTAAGCCAACTTATTTGAACAAACATTGAGGAAACTATATCGATATTTGAACTTTGTAAAAATAGAAACTTATTGTAATGTCTTTAAAACGATTATCTAGAAAAAATAGAGGGACTAAATTTTAATAATGTAAACCTCAAGGCTATGAAGTGTAAAATATAAAGAAAGAGAGATTACATGGAAAAGAGTTCCAACTAATTTCCCCTCCATTTCTTCGATTTCTAACTTCGTTTTCCCAAAAAGAATTCTACATCTTCTCCTCCAACGAGGAAGCCCTGCCAACAAATCAAAGGAGCTGCGATCTGTTACCAGGGTTTCTCCAAATGATCCTGTTTTATGCTTCTTCTTCTTCTTCTTCTTCTTCTTCTTGATCACAAGGAAGTTTTTGTAGAGAAAGATTTCTCTTTTCTTCAAGACATTTTAGGGTTTTTAGGTTGATTTTCAAAATTGCTCGAAAATGCCAGCTCACAGATCAAAATCGGAGAAGAACGAGGAAGAAATTCAATTAAGGAGAGACCCTTACGAGGTTCTTGGTGTTTCTCGTAGCTCCACAGATCAAGAAATCAAAACCGCTTACCGTAAATTGGCTTTGAAGTATGTTTTCTTACTTTGTCGATTGTTCTCTTTTCCCCCTTTTTAGGTTCCTTTTATCCAATTGATCTATGTATACCATATTATAAGATTCACGTATATTCAATATTTTTCTGTTATGGATGGAAACACAATATGCAAGAAAAAAAACATATTTTTCTGTAAATTCAGGGATAGTAATTATTAAATACGTTACAAAGCTACATATTTCACTTTTGAAATTCAAAAACTTCAATTTTATTTTTATCCATGATACATATTAATTATAGATGTATCTATTTATCTTTATCCTAGGTATCATCCAGACAAAAATGCAAATGACCCTAAATCAGCTGATATGTTTAACGAGATCACTTATTCCTATAGTATATTATCCGATCCAGACAAAAGACAACAGTATGATAGTGCTGGTTTTGAGGTGACCATTTCATTATTGAATTTTATTAAAATTTATAACCTTTTATTTCATTCTGACACTATAATAATAATCATCATTCAGGCTGTTGAAGCTGAAAATCAAGATTTAGAGCTCGATCTTTCAAGTTTGGGAGCTATGAACACCATGTTTGCTGCAATTTTTAGGTCTTTTTTACATTCTTGATTCCTACCCTTTTCTTGATTTCGAATCGTTTTTATAAATAAGTTGAGATTTTATATATATTATATATTGTTACAGTAAACTTGGAGTTCCAATAAAAACTATTGTATCAGCTACTGTGTTGGAGGAGGCAATAAATGGTTCAGTTCCTACACTTCCATTAACTTTGGGGAAATCTGTTTCTAGAAAGGTAGATTCTGAATACTTGAAAAGTTTAGGGACGAAATGTGGACATAGTGAATAGTTGGATGGTGGATTTAAAGTTTAAACTTTAAGCCTAAACCCATTTTAATTTTATAAAAAACTGTGATTGTTTGTTCATATAAAATCTTGCATTTTTTTAACAGGTTGAAAAGCAATGTGCGCATTTCTATTCTATTAGGATAACAGAGAAGGAAGCACAAGCTGGAATAGTTTGTCGAGTGCAATCAGCAGACAAGAGCAAGTTCAAGGTTTGCAAATTTACTGTTTTGTCCTTTTGGAAAACTCGTATTAGGGGTGAAAACACGTAATAGGGTTTTGATTTTTTTGCAGCTTTTGTATTTTGATCAAGACGAGAATGGTGGATTGTATCTCGCTTTGCAGGTATACACCATTGTACTTTCTGTTTTTTTTCTTATTAAGGGTAGTTTTGGAAAACGCAATTAGTAAAAAACTAAAAGGTGTCTTTTCATGTTTCAGGAAGATAGTGCTAAAAAAGGAAAACTGACATCTGCTGGGATGTATTTCCTCGGTTTCCCAGTCTATAAATTGGATCAACCATCTAACACAGTGAGTAAAAGATGAAAATACCCCCAAACTTTAACATTTTAATTGTATTTCATTTCATTATCTATCGGCTCCAGATGATTAAAAGAGACCCAGATGCTGCTTTCTTCAAAAAACTCGAAGGATTTCAGCCATGTGAAATTAGCGAATTAAAAGCTGGAGTTCATACATTTGCTGTTTATGGTTAGATTTATGAAAATATGAATACCCATTTGAGATTATTATGTTGGTTTTATTTTATACATGATTCTTATTATTATTATTAATTTATGATTTGGGTTAGGTGACAATTTCTTTAAAAGTGCTAATTACACAATTGAAGTGCTTTGTGCGGGTTCTTTTGTTG